ATTATTATAATTATAATCCACTTGTAAAACATTGTCAAGTGTAGAAGAGAATGAAGCATTGGCTCCTAGCATGTAGGCCTACAGGTCAATGTACAGTTCTCCCAAACGCAGCCTACTTATGATGAGCCTTTTGTTCCGGCGTCTGGTCTTGGTGAAGAGAACATCGTTACTTCTGGCGTTGGATGGGTGCATGTCGTTGAACTCCATGGGATCTGTTTCGCCGCTGAGACCGCGACCCATCTTGACCTTTGACTTTTGTACCTGTAGATTATAACCAAAGCCAATTGCAGTCGGAAGGTGTGGAGGAAGCTGGTGGCCAAATCTACAAAGCACCCGACGGACATCATGTCTATGGGATAGGTGAAGGTGAAAGTGAATTGCAGTCGAAACTGTCTTTAAATTTTAAAAAAGAAAATGCATTGTCGGTGAGAAAAAAAGGCGTATTAGACATGACCTGGCCACATTGTGGCCGTGTAAAAAAATACTGAAGGGAGGAAATGGAAAGTGGCCGGTTTCGTAAGGGTGTCTTTCTAATACTGATGGCCGTTTGAGCAGTTGTGTCTGTACTTTTGCAAGACACTTCTCTTACCGGTAATTTTGTTAGCCAGTAGTTGTCCTTTGGCAAAAAAGGAACACATGATGTTACGTTGCAGATACAACCTCAAACCAAAAGTATTAATTTGAGATCTACGTCTTTTATCCCACGTCAAGTATCTCCGTATTTCTTACTTTAAGGATGATACTACACAGCCTTTGTAAGTTGTATGTTGAGTCAGGCTTTGTCGAAAGAGAACGGCTCCTAAACAGTCCAAACTATGTCAGTCCTTGTTAAAAAGAAAGAAAAAATACAAGTATTCACTTTAAAAGAATGTCAATTAATCATCCTAGCAGGCAACAATTATTTCAGAAGACTTTACCTACTACAGTACGCTGCTTGAATCGAGGATCGAGAATTCAGCTACTGTTAACATGTTGTGTCATGGATAACATCTGAGCTATTTAAAAAACGCAGTTGTAAAAAAAACCCCACTATTTCATAGTCCAGTCTGTAGAAAGCCTCATCAAGTCTCAAACGCACAGTGCGGAAGAGAATAGTAATAAGGTCCGCCTCGCACAGAAGAAAGAAATGCGAAACAATAATACATGTACTATAACCAGTAATGACTCTCGCGTGTAAAGAAGAGTGGGCAGTGTGATATGCTCTGCAAATTTTACTTAGCAGGTTTTAACATAAAAAGTACAAGCTCCAAATGGTACACTTTTATCTTTTCAAAATAAGTGTAAATAATTCTAGATCTATCAATGTAGCCTCGCCCGAGGAATTAAAAAAAATGTCACTGACGACTTGCAGACTCATCGTGACAAGCCAACTTGAATTGTGATTAAGTGAAGTGGGAAATAATGTAATTTGTTTTCTATATCTCGTTTGGTGTTTGTTTTTAATTAGATGATGTGTCTGTGTGTATGTGTGTGTTCGTGTGTGTGTGTATGTGTGTTTGTGTATGTATGTGTGTTTGTGTGTGTACGTATGTGTGTAAGTGAGGGG